CGAGTCTCACCCCATCAGGAGTCCGGCTCTGGCTCTTGGAGCTTATCTAAAAAAGAATGGGATTGGATGGAGAGTGAGATGTGTCATCTCCGAAGTGAGCAGACAAGGCAAGGCGAGGAGCAGACAAGACAAGGAAACGAACAAATCCAACAAGGCAGGTTGATCGGTGAAATGCACGAATGGATGCGGCAGATGATGCTGCGCGACCAACCTCCGCAGCCATGAACTCTGTGAGTTCTCTGCTACTGGTGTTCCAACAGTGAGGACACTGTTGAATCCTAGTGTGGGGGTATTTTATTTGTGTTTTTATGTTATTTGTTTATGTTATTTGTGTGTTTTCGTTTCTGTTTTAGTTATTTGGTTATTTAATTTTCAGTGTTAGTTTTTCAGTGTTAGTTTGAAAGCATGATAGCAAGTCCACAGGAAAGCCCCCTGACATTGAGCTAATAAAATTAATAACATTGTTGGTTTGGGGAACTGTTTGGTGGAGATGTCGGTGAGTGAGGTGATGAGAAAGTATATAGAATACTCAGAAAAGAACTGTGAGGATGAAATCGGAACAATCTTGAGAGATAGGTAAAAGGCAAACACCCTGGATTTCCCGAATAGGAACGAGTTCGACGTGTAGATTTGTACCATATTGCTTTGATCTGAGAAGTACCCCTGAGTAGTTTATTTTGACAATCAGGTTTCATTAATAAGAATCGTGTGTGCAAGGTTAACCAAAAATATTGAGCTAAGGCACAGAGAAAGAAAAAAAAAACAAACAAACAAAAAGGGGCAATTAGGCGACTAATCCTTCTAAGTTGGGTAACCCTCACCCGGCTATTCAGCCCAACGGCGGTCGAACCTGAAAGCCATTCAAAAATAATAACAGTGCCAGAAAAAGAAAAATGTCGTTGATGAATCTTGTGCACACGAGGAAAATAAAAAAAAATCCGTTATAGTGACTGTCCGAATGAAAGGGAGGAAAATCGAAAAAGAAGACTTAAGTACAAAGCATAGTCGGAGAGGTTACCCATAGGGAGACTGAGGTCTGTGGTTTACCGCAGTCTAGTGTTTGCATGTTACCTGTTTTGAGGGAAAAGCCGAGATTAATCCTAGTGGGACTTGGAATGAGAAGTTCAAGTATGAGTATCATCACTGTAACTCACATTTCTATGGACGGTTCCGTTATGAAAAAGATATTAAGTTCGGCTTGGCGAGCTTTTTGCTTGAGGACAAGCAAAAGTTCAAGTTCGGGGGAGTTTGATCGGTGGATTTCACTTGTGTTTTCAAACGCTGTTTGTTGTTAATTTCGCACCGTTTTTATCTGTTTTCGAAGCTTTAGTTGTTATTATCTGAATTACTCGTAGTTGTTTGTCTTCAAGTCTTATTTTGAAGTTTGTATTACTTTTGCCGCTGGTGCGTTTGATTCGGTTTATTTTAGTGTGTTTTTGGCAGGAATGGATAGCATGACAGTCACACCGCTTTCGGAGGCAAAGAAAAGTCGGAAAAGGGAAGTCAGAGCCACAACACGGGTACCCGTGTTGCACAATACGGCCCGTGTCATGGAGGACACGGTTGGCAGACACGGGTAGACCAAAGCAGAAGAAAATGGGAAACAGACGTACAACACGGGTGCCCGTGTCATGCAACACGGCCCGTGTTGCAGCCCTTGTAGAAGAAAACGTGCCCTGAAGGAGTTAGCAGCCTGACACGGCCACCCGTGTTGCACAACACGGCCCGTGTCAGGGCCACTGAGAGTGAAATTATTATATTTTCTGATTTTTTGATGTCAGACCTATTTCGAAGGGCATTTGAGACATTTCGCGATGTAATTTGAATTTAGATATAAGAGCCACTTTTTAGAAAGTAGGGGACACTTTTGAATGGAGATTAGGATTGACAACTGAGGAGAGAGTTCTTCTGGAGAACAAAGGATCGATCAAAAGCGGAAGCAATTGATGATCCAAGGGATCCAACTCGAATTGTAATGATCTTCTCCTTTTCATTTCTAATTGCATTTATGTTTACAAAGAACATGAGCAGCTAAACCCCAAGTTGTTAGGGGGTGGTCCTAAGTTGCGATGTAATGACCTTTGTTTGATTATTCTATGAGAACTATGTTATTCACCTTATATATTTTATTTTGCATCAATCTTAATGCGTATTCATATTGGAAAGTAGAATTCGAATTATGCTTAGGTTTTAGTCTGGAAAGCCAACCTAACACTTTTGCAAAATAGTCTCACGGTCGATATTGCTTAGGAATGAGGATATCCCGTATCACGTATTTTATGGTCGGAACTATTGCTTGATGCTTTTCATGGACACTGAGGAATTAGTGTACATGAAACTCATCAAAGGGTTTTCATTAAGGAATTAAGAAAAACTAAATTGGCCAACTGATGAATTAAGGTTAATAACTAATATAGGAGGATAATCATACATGGTCTTTACTCGCATCGTATCCACTCCCCTAACACTGTTCTTAGATTGATTTATAAGTCTTTATTTACTTGTTATATTACTCTGCTACCAAACAAATCACTAGACACTAGATCTTTTGTTCCTTTGAATCCTAAAAATCCCGTTAATTACTACGCAGTCCTTGAGATCGATACTTGGGACTTTTCCCTTATTACTACAATCGGTAAAAATAGTACACTTGCTATTTTCCCGATCAATTAGCTAGATTATGATTTTGAATACCAGATCTGGCCGTTATCGATTGACACATATCTCAACTTAAATGGGCATTTAACTCTTCTAATATAAGTGACTCCATAAGAGTTGTGGTTTTTGTAGTTTCCTTCCCTCTCACAACTAATAATGAATTTGTCTTCCTCCCTCTTTGCTTAGTTTTTGTATCAAAACAAATAGTAACAACAATAATACCACATGTCTCCCAATAGATGATGCTTATGATAAGAGGAAAATATCTATCAATTAAAATATATAATGAATGAATTACTCATAGATATAATAACTCGATTAAATGTTTAAAAAGTTCAAAAAAAACATGTAAGTAAAACATACCAAGTTAGTGTTGAAGGACTGAGTAAAATACGAGTAAAATTTTCTTGTTTGTGTGTTGTTTTCCTATAATAATGGTTCGCCTTACTTTAAATTACAAGCATAGTAGCTGGTAGACATGACATACTGAGGCATGAGAGGGTTGCTCAGCATGCATACGTTCGGCGGAAGAATAATTAGCAGATTCCGAAGGCTCTAGGTCCCTTTGGTCAGGAAAAACCGTCTACTTTTGGGGCTCGTGCTTTTCCTCCGTCCACTTCATCTCATTCTTCCCGTAAGAGACGTGATTCACCATCTGACACATCACTACCCTCATCCTCCCACAGGCATCAGGTTTCACTAGTGCCACCTTTTACGGAATGAATGATTTTGCTGATCCAGTCTCACCTCTTATCCTACCTCTTATTTTCTATGTTGCTGATCCAGTGTCACCTACGGAGGGTGATGCTTCTACGGATGATGAGGTATAGGCTTTTGGAATTGGAGGAGGTCTTGTTAATTTGTCCTTACTGTCTCTGTATCCAGACCATACTTCCAGACATATCTAGGACGGAGAGATAACATTAGTTGAAGTTTTTATTTATTTTTATGTTAATTTTAATTTTTGACATTGAGTACATCGAAGATTTGTTGCGTGCTACTGCTTTTATCTCGCTCAGAGGGAACTAGGCGGTCAAACCTTTCAAAGTCTATCTTGACCATTTAGTTGTCGAGGACATGCACTTCAACAACTATATTGATCACTATCAGATACACCCGTTTGACGAGATAATGATATACTTTAGATGGTTGGTCTGTGGATCGTGTTTCACTATTCCTTATCTGCTCGAGTGCTTCATGCGGCAGTTCAACTACACTTAGGTAGTTCCCAGACACCCTACTGTCTCTGCTCCTCCTGCCTTGACACGTAGGCACATAAAGGACATGTTTGATGATTATGAGATTCATTTGGTACTGAAGGAGATACATGCTACCATAAATAAGAGCGACTGAAGCTACGTTGAAGGGTACATTAGATGGTTCTCCAAGGTGTCACATTCATACATGATGCATACTGCTCCAGGATATCTGCCGAAAACTGCTCATCAGGAGATTCTAGAGGGGAAACATGTACAACTAAATCATACTGTCGATGTCTTGACTAAGTGTCATCGCATAATGAAGATCGCGCATGCAGATATTGACACAAATATCTTCCCCGATGCGTCTCATGCCAAGAGGATCCTAGATGCCATCATGACATAAGTACATGAGACATTGTTGTACTAGAGGCATCACCGAAGTACATAAAGGATTAATGGCCGAGGAGGTAGATGAGTGCTTGTCAGACACACACAATAATATCTTATTATATAGTTATAATACTATGATATATACTTTATTTTGATGGTCTTACTACTTTATTGATTTCAATTGTACGACATTTTTGACATTTATTGATATTTTATTTTTGTATGTCATTTTTGGTCCATTTGAAATTATGTACACTATACTTTTATTTTTTGATTGTACGATATATTTCATCGGAACACATATAAACAACATATAATATGAAATACATGTTATGATACATTTCAAAGATGTATCTCTTAAATATTCACCGAGATGTATTTCTAATATAATTCAAATGTAAATGGCTTCTGAGTAGGATGTACTGAATGTTTTAAATAGATCCGGAGATGCATCACCAGAATATTTCAACGTTCATTTAAAATTCTGTGCGTTCGAATATCCATCTCAAAAAATTAAAGACATTTAAATAATTTCGCGTAGTACTTAAGAAGTATTAAGGGTGCATTAAGAAATTCAGTTAATATATTCGAGTTATTTGGGCCTTGCTTTGTACGGGTCGAGCCCAGACCCATAAAGATCCAAATATTACAAATCTGAAACCCTATATTTCATCCCACCGAGTTTCAGAATCAACCCTTCTCCCACTTCTCTGACGGCTTCCACTACCAGCTAGTCCATTCCAAACCCTAATGGTAACTTCTATCCCCAAATTCCACCCCCAATTTTCTCAGATCTGTATCGCTATATTGCACTGAGCTTTATTTCATTTTGTGTTGTTGCATTGACAGGCACCGAAGAAGGAGAAGGCACCACCACCGTCGTCAAAGCCGGCGAAATCAGGAGGAGGGAAACAGAAGAAGAAAAAATGGAGCAAGGGTAAGCAAAAGGAGAAGGTCAACAATATGGTTTTGTTTGACCAAGGTACCTACGATAAGCTTCTCACAGAAGCTCCCAAGTACAAACTCATCACTCCGTCGGTTCTTTCCGATCGTCTCAGGGTACATTGTTATCTCAATTTCATCATTAATTGATTTGATTTCAATTATAAAAAATAAATTTTTTTATATATATTTTAATAATTATTGTGGTATTTTCAGGTGAATGGATCTTTGGCACGTCGTGCAATCAAGGATTTGATGGCAAGAGGTTTGATTAGGCTGGTTTCTGCTCATGCTAGCCAACAGATTTACACCAGAGCCACTAATACATAAGCGGATTTGAGGTGTTTATTTATTTTGAAGATTTTGTTTAGGGGAATCAACAGTATGAGTTACTAGTTTGGTTTACATGTTTTGATGTTGCTGCAGTTTATTTTGTTTAAGACATTGTTAAAATTTTGATTTTAATTAATGATGACTAGTTTAATCTGGGCAAGAATTTCTCGAGCAATTCCGGTTTTTGGTAAATAATGTTTTTGTTTTGAGAAATTGATGCAATTAAAGTGATTTGAATGATGCGGAAAACTGAGTAAGTACTATAATGTATAAGGTTCTTGTGAAATTACATTGTTACATTGCAAAACCATCATCATCTCTTAAATCACTTATCACAGTTTCAGGTTCAACAATACGAGAACTTCCAAGTATTTCTTGAATCATAGCCAACATTTACGAGTTATCTCAATTCAATCTCTACTCCCACATACCCCCTAGATTCATTCACCTATCAAAAGCATTCCGGCCCAATTTCTTACATGCCTTAGCCACATGCAAAACCACCACATGGCCCTGTGTTTTGAGTCTGATTATTTGAAAATGAATAAATAGTAAAATTATCCTGATTAATAGAAGTTTTGGTATATTTCATGATACTTTAGTACTTATAAAAATATCAACACCTATTCCACCTATTTCAGGATACTTTTTGTCTTGTTTTACAAATTCAAAATATTTTATATTTCTGATCTATACCCTATTTTTCTCTATTTTCAATACGATCTCATAGCAGACAATACATTAACCAAAACGGTGTACAACTTTGATAAATGAAAACTAGGAAATGCACTTATTATCTAAATGCACTTATTATCTAGTTATCATTTTAATCTTCAAATCACTTAAAAGTTATCATTTTTTTTTATACAAATTGAGTTGTGGTTTGGTGTGATGTGGAGATTTCAGGCATTGAGTGCTTATCTTATTATTGAAACATTACATTGAGATATTTTGTCTTACCACCTCCCACTCATACCTGACACTCCATAGAAATTTGGTTTTGTGTCGCCCTTGCTTAATTTTTTGATGTTTTAAAAGATTTTGTATTTTATCATATAATAGCGAATTTTTTGTTTCAGGGGATGTTACATGAATTTTTACTAGACTTTTGATAAAAATGACTGGAGTTTATTGATTCGGGGTTTTTAAAAAAAATTGGGTAATAATGCATTCGTTTTTGAAAAATGTATGAATAAATACTGGATTTAAAAAAAATTTGACATTTATATCAAAATTTTCAGGAAATTTGGTGAATGACAATTGTTTTTTAAATGCTTTTGTTTTTCAAACTAAAATTTTGACATTTGTAACAAAGTAGCATGACAATATTAACATATGGTTTCAAAAGTTTCTGTATAGTCACAATCAATCAAATAAAATATATACATGGATAATGTGTTATGATATCAATTTAAAACAAATTATGCTGACATCCTAACTTCTTCTTCCTAGTGCCTTATATGTTTCACATATATTGTTTTCCATGCTTATACACCTTCACTATAGTTTTGTCTCTAACGGTCAGTGACGAGAGACAATAAACAATCATGTTTCAACTTCATTTGAATCCAATGACTGATGTTAACAAAATCAACTACAATAAACTTATGTTTACTCGCACACAAGAATGGAGATACCACTATTGTAAAGAAAATCATGTTAAGATTTTTGGACAACGAGACCCATATGGCACTGTATCTATAAGAAATAGGGAATTCCATATCAGAAATCGTCATCCATTTGTCACGACCTTGAACTCCCAAGCTAGATACTCGCAACGAACTCCTAACTTTAGAGATCATGTCATATAACACATTGGAATACATGTGATGATTTTGATATACTTCAGCATCTAACTATGTCCGAACCAAAGACTAGGACTCTTCACGCATCCAAATAAAGATGTAATCGCATGAAAACCATAGTTTTCATCAGGCTCCAGATCAAAATTATCAACAATGTAGTCATGTAAGAAAGAAGTAAACTAAGTCAAGTAAAAATGTCTTTCAGACTGACTAGACAATTGACTTGGAGTTAGTTTTGCCCATGATCTGTTCATCGTCTGACTTCCTTGCGAGCCCTCATCAAACTCCAACCGCAAAGGATCACGATGTACATCACTCTCTTGACCTTTATTACTCTTCTTATTTCCCCTTTTTGGCTTGTACTTCACTAGTGGTGGACACATGGAAGTTGTAGATAGACGTGTTAGTTCCCGAACTTTTTTCTTCATTACCATATGGCCAACTATATCTAATATATTGAAATTCCTCTTCAACTCTTCACATTCTTATTCTAAATCCAATTGTGTTCCACTATCTTCTTGATTCACTTTATGCTCTTGAATGTTTAACTTCTTTCGAAACACATGAATTGATTCTAACGGAACATGTTCACCTGGTATTTGAAGACCTGCAATTTGATACACACAAGATAACCCATGTGTTGTCTTAATGAAGAAACCACATGCATTTTTGTCATAACCAACGAATTTTACCCTTTCTAACTCCTTTGCAAGGTGATGTATACACTAGCTTGAAACGAAGCCGTGCAATATGGAGTAAAATAGAGTGTTATACTGATGCTCAATGTTGGCATTATTTTTTTTTAAAAATGACACTCTAATTGAACCTAGTTGAAACTTCATCATGGTGTCAAAATGGCTAGTAGTCAACATGTTTTTGAATCTCCAATGAGCAAACTCAATCCTAATAAACATAAATAGAAAAAGAAATTATAATTTGATAATTAGTATTGTAATCCAATCAAATTCATAATGACATATTTGTTTGTTGACGTGTTCCCTAAACGAGTGACTCTATTAGTTCATGCAACGTCAAATTTTTCTTTATAGAATGTCAATCATGTTTCATGCACATACTGAACAAATAAGAGAATATTGACACATACAACCTCAAAATGTTTCAAGTGTTCCACAAACTCAAAATCCTTATTTGAATACATGATTGTGTTCCATAGATCCATAACATGCTCTTGGGTATTAGGCGCGACACACTCCTTACACTTCATACTAACATTTCTTAAATATGGAGCATAGAAAACAGATAAACTGATGACGGGAACACTGTAATGCCCTAGACTGTTCTCAAGATTATCAGCTGACCCCACAAATCAATACTGGTCTTTTCGGCCTGCTTTTTCCTCACTCACACGCTTTCTGGGAAACTTTCAACAAGGCCAACCATCCAAATACTACTCCAGGTCGAGCAAACTTAACTATGGAGTTCTTATTTGTTAGGCCACCGAAAAGAAAACGCATCTTGTTGGTATAGGTAGTACTGATTAATCCTTATAAGCATTTCTTCAGCCATGATGTCCCATACCTGCACAACCTAAGGATCTTCTCATTCTGATGTGAATTCGGGAGACCACTCCCCGCCCTCTTCGGTCTTGGGTGTTACAACCACTCCTCGTCCTCGGGTGTTACATGCCCACCAACTTCCATTTGGTTCGTACCTAAACCACATCGTACTGTGATATGTTTGCTCTAATACCATTTGTAACACTCTAAATTGCTTTCATGGTTATCAACTGGCCACATAAACCAACACGAGTCTTTTCAACATACTTTGTCCTTACTCACACATTTTCTGGGAAACTTCTTTGACCACCCATCTAAATACTACTCCATGACAAACACGCTTAATTATGAAGTACTTATTTGTTAGGATATCAAAAATAAGATGCATCCAACACCTTTTCGTCTTTTTTCCAATTGTTTTTTGCTACAAGTTTGTTCCATTCATATGTGATATGGTAGATTTCAGTTGTCTCCATTTTTCACATAAATTGAAAAGTCTTGCAAGTTCTCTCTCTCTCTCTCTCTCACTCTCATGTATTGTTTGTTACTATTAAGAAAGTGAACAATGTTCATGATTGAGAAAAACCTTGTGAAAAATGCATGAAAAACTCCATTGATGGAGCTTGAGCTATGTAAAAGAAGAGAGAACAAAAGAGATGAAAGAAGTGAAGCAATGTGCATTTAATATCATTTGCTTAGCTGTTACATTGCATGGAGAATCATACCTGTAGGTAGCTAAGTTAATTACACTCAAATAACAAACTAACTAACTTCTTATAACATTTAACTAACATTTAAAAGTTAACTATAAAGGGAAATTGCAATGATAATGAAGCTAAATAAGTGATTTTAACATCCCCTCAAGCTTAAGAATGATATATATCAATCATGCCAAGCTTGGAGATGAAATGCTGAAACTTGTTGGAGATCAAAGGCTTAGTAAGGAAATCAGCCAATTGTTCTTGAGAAGCTATTCAAAGCTGCTTGAAGACACCTTGCTTGATCTTTTCCCTTAAAAGATGGCAATCAATCTCAAGGTGTTTTGTCCTTTCATGAAAAATAGGATTGAAGGCTATGTGGATAGCACTTTGGTTGTCACAATACAAGACTGGTATTTTGGAGCATGTGATGTGAAGATCCTTCAAAATATAAAGTAACCAAACCAGTTCACATGTTGCTAAACCAAGTGTTCTATATTCTGTTTCTGAGGATGATCAAGCAATAGTTTATTGCTTATTTGCTTTCCATGAAACTAATGATGTTCCTATGAAAAAGAATAGCCTGATGTGGATATTCTAAAATCAATACATCCTGCCTAGTCTGCATCAGTGTATCCTAGTATCTGCAATGATGAATTTCTAGGGACGATGAGACCTTTGCCTGGATTGCCCTTCAAATACCTTATCACTCTGCATGCTGCATGATAATGAACCTGACTAGGACAATGCAAAAACTGGCTTAATTATTCTGTGATAAGTGTAATGTCAGGCCTAATATTGTTTAGATACAATAATCTGACAATCAATCTTCTATAAGCAGTTACATCCTCAAAAAGCTTGCTACTGTCTTAATGCAATTTGATTGAAGGATTGAGAGGAGTGTCAACTAGTTTTGAAACTAACAACCTTGTATCATTCAACAAGTCCAGAAAATATTTTCTTTGTGAAATAGTAATGCCTTATGTTGAGTGTACCACCTCAAGGCCAAGGAAGTATTTCAAGGTTCCTAGGTCCTTGACTTTAAAGGCATTATGCAGAATGAGTTTAATGTGATCAAATTCAGCCAGTGATGTACTTGCCAGGATTACATCATCAAGATAGACCAGAAGGATAATAATGAGACCATTCCTCACCAAGGTGAACATGGAATAATGTGAGTTGGACTGAGTATAACCAAGGCTGAGCAATAATGATGTGAGTTTCTCATACCATTTTATACTAACCTGTTTTAGTCCATAAAGACTTTTGACAAGTTTGCAAACCTGATTGGCCTTGTTACAATGTAAACATCCTCCTCTAAGTCACCATGCAAGAATGCATTATTGATATTAAGTTGATGTAAATGCCAATTCTTGATGGCTGCAACAGCAAGAAGAACTCTGACAGTAGATGATTTTGCTACTGGTGAAAAAATATCAAAAAAATTTAGGCCTTCTACTTGATTATATCCTTTTTCAACCAGTATGGCCTTATACCTTTCAATAGTGCCATCAGCCTTGTGTTTGATCTTGTATATCCACCTGATCCCAATAGGTTTGACATTTGGTGGAAGATCAATTAGCTTTCAAGTGCCACTGATGAATAAGGCCTTCAACTCAGAATTCATAGATTGAATCTAATTCTGACATAGTCTCTGCCTTAACAAGTTTTTCACTGATTTGCTTGATCTCTTTTCTACACTTTGACATGATGGCGAATTCAAATGTTCCAATGCATGTTTTGTTACAATTTTATTAGGCTTTGGACTACAATTACTATCAACTAAATGTACAATGATTTTCAATTGTTTTTTCAAACTCTCCTGTACAATGATTTGCAGAGAATAATTGTTTTTCAAATTCTTCTATTATTTAACTCCCTACTATTTAGCAACAATATACTACTACTAATAAAAAACTAATTATTTAAATGATCTGTTTTGAAAATAATTTATCAGTTAATTTATCAAAAAAAAAAAGTTAATTCTTTAAGAAATTAATTTTCCATAATTTAAATAAACTTCAATGTTAAAAAATCAATTTGGAGAAAATAAACCAAAGTTCCAACATAAATAAATAAGGTGGTTAGTTAAATGCGGTTCAGTTCAATAGGTTTTGGTTCGGTTAACTGTGATTTAATTTGGTTATTGAACTGTTTCATAAACTATGGTTCGGTTATTTAACAACGGTTCGATTCGGTTTTATGGTTCAGTTTGGTTCTATAGATTTTTTGAACAACACTAATACTTATAGATAGCTAAGTTAGTTACACTCAAATAACAAACTAACTAACTCCTTATAACTAACTTTCCTAGAATAGTATAAGATATAAATAACATGTAAAACTTAACTATAAAAGGAGAGTGCAATGATAATGAAGCTAAACAAGTGATTTTAACAGTTACTGTACTCATCTCATTATTTTAAGAATTTTTGTGTCTTTTTTTATAAATATTTTATTACTTTATTTCAAGATGAGCACAGTTAATGTCATACCTCGTTTGTGTTCTTGCATACTGTAATTGATATTTTGAAGAATGCATGGTAAAGAAGCTTGGGAAGACTAATTGATGCTATTGTTAGTTACATTTTTTATTATGAATGTTAGATATTTGATTAAATGTCTGAGAGGCATTGGTGGTGAATGTTAGCTGTTTGGTTAATTGTCATGTTTTTAGTAGATCATGCTTACTCATCATTATGTTTTCTATTGCTTAACACTATTTTTGTATTGATAAAACCCCAAACCTAAGCCAAATTGTGTTTAATAAAATGCTCAGAGTTTTTATTTGCTGGAATTTAACATTGCAAATAACAGAGAAAAGAAAAAAAAAATTTACCAAGATGAACGAAACAACAAAAATATATGACAACCAGTATAGTTGGTACAAACTATTATCAGATAAAAATTGCACCAAACCATCAACACAACTTATGCAAATAACAGAATTGGACGTAATTAAAATAATGAATACATGTTGAGCATATTGAGACTGTCGCGGATCAACACGATGTGTGAAACATTAGCAAGTGAAGTTACAACACTTCAGTTAGGCTAATGTTTATTGACTCTTGCACTTCAGTTCTTGCTGCTAACGTACTGAAGGCTTCAGTTCTTGCTGTTAACGTAATGAACCGAGTTTAAAGGGCTAGGTTGGTTCACAAACCATGAGGATAGGTTCAGGTCGGTTCAATTCAGTTTTTTTGGTTTATTTTAACTGTCCTAGTTGTGATAACCATGTTTCTGAAAACAATTTCAGTTCTACAATTTTTATTACAATGGAGGTGTTGAAACTTACTTGCTGCTGCTAAACTATTTCCCTATCGATGACTCAATTCTTACAATGTAACACAAGACCAAACCCTGATGTAGCATAAGATCAAAATTTGTACACACTAATCTCAGATATTGTATCACCACATTATCAACAAATCATCTTAAACAATTTGCCAATGTGATTTTATTATAAACTTGCACATTACGATATTTTATTAGTTATGTGCATCATGAAAACAATAACTGAATCATAAAATAACTGGAAAAAAAAGCAATTTAAATTTGAAATTTTGCAATGTTGGACCAATTATGATAATCCTTAAGAAGTAAATCCTTTCTTCAAAGTTTGAATGGTCGCAACATCAGTCTTGAAAGCCAAAGCCAAGACATTGTCATCAATGGTTGTGTTAAACAATGTGCTAGCGATTGAAACAGTTCCGGCATTAGCACTACCAAAGGCAGAAAACGCCAAAGCAGGTTTTTGAGAATCAGAATTGAATTGAAAGTGCACAAGTCCCTTTGGAAACACAAACATATCACCAGTTTGTAGCGTCTGAGTGAATAGCTTATTGGTCGTGTCCACAAATCCAACTTGAAGGGAGCCTGTCGCGAGGAAAAGTAGCTCGGCCGAGCGAGGATGTGTGTGTGGCGGATTGATACTTCCGGACGGGAACTCAAGAGCAGCATACGCCACACTTTGTCCATCAAGAGCTGGAAATTCAGCTTTGCTTGCTTTCAATGCTTTGAAAGTTGAGGGAAATGTGTTTGGTGGAAGAAGGGCGCGGAAGCCGGTGAATGTGAAGAAGGAACCATCGACTTGGGTTCCAATTGGGGCTATGAAGTCAGTGAGGATGTCTGGATCACCCGCTGATGTTATTTGCATTATGACAAATGCAGATACGATCAGTGTGAGGAGTTTTGAAGTGGTGGAAGACATTGTGAGTGTTTTGGAATGTTTAAAATAAGAGGTTACTAAGGAAAGTTAGTTGAATGAATGGAAGATTTGTGATTTTGGAAATTTGAGGAATGATGTATTTATAGTGCTTTCTGGTTTATTATATGCTGGCAACTTTGTATTTTTTATAACATGTATGGAGATTTCAATGTAACTTTTTGTTGTTGTGCAGTTTGCAGCTGTTTTGTTGTGACTTTTTATTATATTGAACCATTTATGTTTTGAAATATTGCAGCACCAAAAACAATGAGATGAGTGTGCCTTGTAAACACCATATCCAGCTGCCTCTCTATGTTTATCCATTGTTTTATTTAATCAATAATAATATAAATACGTTAAATCCAGTTACAGAAATCAGATATTTCAACTATTTAAGATTAGTTCGAGTCAAGTGCTTGAATCACTTCAACAGTAAAGTCTCTTAGGTAGCGTATAAGAAAAGACTTTTTAATTCGAAATTTGGTTCAGTTTTCACCATGAACAGGAATAGGATGATCTGAGACGATTGAGAGGCAGCACAGATTAGGGTGCTCCATGGCACCTGCAAGTTTTGTTGTAAAAGGTATACTTAATTTGTTATGTTTGGATCAACCAAAAACCTATACGATTTTGCGACCAACCATTAAGGTTGTAATTGCTTGAGCTGCAAGTTTTGTTGCCCTATTTGCTTTAGACGCGGTGGCTTGTTAAGATAATTAAACTCTCTTTAATATGCTTTTTCTAGTTCATCATAATATTCAAGCTTTCTACTTCATTAATACAGACACAATATAATAATAAAGGAATAAAATTAAAATCAAAGAAGACACAAAAATTCTCAAAACAGATATTGATTGATAGATATTGCTAAAGCTTGACGAGTGCAAAACAGAGCTTGTGGTTGCGTCTGAAAGACCAAAGTTGCACCAACACGTTCTCGTCTTTTTTCCAATTGTTTTCTGCTACAAGTTCGTTCCATCCTTCGGTGATAGTGTAGACTTCAGCTTTCTCCATTTTCCACTTCTTCAAGCACATTTCATCCCATAGGTTAAGATTATGATCCAGCATAGATACATACATACTATTAATCTTCTCATTTTTATTACGCTCGTAATCCAAGTATGATTCCTCACTTGCTGTCAAAAAACTCTCTTTAACTCCTCCTTTTGGGATGGAGAGACGACTCTGGTTTTTCGTCACATCACTATTTGTTAGTTCCTTCTGAATCACCAACTTGACCTCAACGCCTCCCATTTGTTCAATCTTTTCTTTAAATTCCAAAGGAAGTCCAGGTTCGTCTACTTCCGGATGGGGACTAATCCTTCCATTGGTATTGATTTTCTTCTTTTGTTTTTTTGAAGGCTCACTTGATTTTTTCTTATTTGCCTTTCTTTTCTTGACTTTTGTGTTGGAACTCTCGTCAAACAACGATTCCCCAGTAGTTGTCTCGTTATTCTTTGTATTAGGATTGTTGAGTTCCTCGGCAGTTGTCTCGTTGTTCTTTACATAAGAATTCTTGAATTCCTTAGTACTTGTCTCATTATTCTTTAGTCCAGAATTGTTGAATTTTCGGTAGCTGTCTCGTCATTCTTTGTATTAGAATTTCCATGAACAAATTTCAGCGATCGATCGCTTTGTTTTATTTTAATTGTTATTTTGGGAACACTTCCACCAACAGCATCCTCAGTAGTTATCTTGTTATTCTTAACGTCAGGATTCTTGAATTCCTCTTTACTCGTCTCATTATTCTTTACATTAGAATTGTTGAATCTCGTTATTGTTTCCGAAGCAAAAGCATAGTGTTGATTCTTTGAACGAAGAACATCATCAGAAGCATCAATTTTAGCAACACTTGTACCAGCAGCAACCTCATGATTATTTTCTATTATTGTCTCCGAAGCAGCAGCACACTGTCGATTCTTTGAATGAAGAACATCATCAGAAGCACTTGTAGCAGCAGCAACCTCGTGATTATTGATTGTTATTGTTTCTGAAATAGGACCATATTGTCGATTATTTGAATGAAGTACAGCAGAAGCGTCACTTTTAAATTGATTTGCCAAAGACTCAGATCGTAAACCTAATAAGTTTTCAATCATCAAACAGTCATCACTATCAAATTCCTCTAATATTCTAGAAGCAAAATCACATTCTTCCATAATCTTGAAATTGATGAAGACTCAATGCAAGTGTATGTTCCTGAATTAATATATACTAAATTATAGACAAATTGAGATTATTGTTTGTTTCAATGTAACAAATTGATTTCAAATTATTAAAAAAGATAAGATTTAAAAGATGAATTTGTTATTTAACAAATTTATCTCTAGGTTTGTTTTCCTTATTGAAAAGGTTGTTATTATTATTATTTTTTTAATATACTCATCGGTAAAGAGTGGCAAAATCTATGCACTATGTTCTAACTAAATTCTCTCTTTAAAATTAATTTAAAAAAATTTATTTAGTGAGTATTTTCTATCACTATCAAATAATTAATTTAGTTTGTATATTCTTACTTTCATATCAATTAATCTATAAATTATTTTTAAAATAATTAAAATATTTTTAAATTATTATTTCATTCTAATTATAATAGTTTAAAGACTAAATTGTGAAAGAATGATAGTATAGAAATTAAATTAAATTTAAAATAAAAAATTGTTTGGAAATTCTATTTTTAAAAACTATTTTAAAAATGAAAACATGAAAAATCATATTTAAAATGTAAGTTTTTTTTTTTTTTTCTGAATTAAGTGAAATGGTCTTTAAATAACTAACAAACTTTCACCCTTAAATTTTGGTCCTAATCCACGTGTTGGGTTGGATGGCTTAAAAGCCAATTTATTTATTATTTTCTTTTTTTATTTTTATTTTATTAATAATTATTTTAATAGTAAATTTTCAAATTTTGATTTAAGATATCAAGTTTTTTTTTTCTTTTTGAAAAAACGTATAAGGATTTTTTTTTAGTTTTCCAAAAGTAAATTATAAAAAAAAATGATAGTGTTTGAGAATTATTTGACAGTTCTAAGATAATATTTGCCCTATTTTTAATACTTAAAACCATATTGGTCTAACCGATCAATTTTGAAATCAAATATATTTATTATTTAACTAATCTAAAATCAACATTACTAAATATCTCTAAATCAATTTTTTGATAATTAATATTAAATTTAATATTGGAAATTTGAAAACAAAAACGACATGAATCTATGATTTATATTAGATTATTGAAAAAATTGGTATAAAGCATAATTCGTTTTCAAAATTGGTATAAATTTTTGAGAAAATTTAAATCATTCTATGTGTATTTTACGACATGAATTTACGACATGAGAAAATTTGGTATAAAGCAAATGATTTTTAAAAAATTTAAAATTTAAATTTTAAAATAACTCTCTTACTCTATATAACATGAAATCTATGCAACATGAACGATAATTTAATATGATACCAATACTCATGTGCATATAGGTGTTCCTATGTTATTGGAAATAACATATAGGATGTTTTGACACCAATACTCATGTCCCAATCCATGTAACTTAACCTAAACATGAGATAATGTGTTTTTTTTGAATATCCCATGTTCTAAGCCATTACAAGGATTTTTAGCATATCAGAAAATGCAACTCTAACATTCAGATCACAACCATCCTTGTTAATACTCAACTTCTCTGCTGGATGTGTTTTTAAATCAGTTACAGAAATCAGATATTTCAACTATTTAAGATTAGTTCGAGTCAAGTGCTTGAATCACTTCAACAGTAAAGTCTCTTAGGTAGCGTATAAGAAAAACATTTGATTCGAAATTTGGTTCGGTTTTCACCATGAACATGAATAGGATGATCTGAGACGACTGAGAGGCAGCACAGATTAGGGTGCTCCATGGCACCTGCAAGTTTGGTTGTAAAAGGTATACTTAATTTGTTATGTTTGGATCAACCAAAAACCTTTACGATTTTGCGACTAACCATTAAGGTTGTAATTGCTTGAGCTGCAAGTTTTGTTGCCCTATTTGCTTTAGACGCGGTGGCTTGTTAAGATAATCAAACTCTCATTAATATGCTTTTTCTAGTTCATCATAATATTCAAGCTTTCTACTTCATTAATACAGACACAATATAATAATAAAGGAATAAAATTAAAATCAAACAAGACACAAAAATTCTCAAAACAGATATTGATTGATAGATATTGCTAAAGCTTGACGAGTGCAAAATAGAGCTTGTGGTTGCGTCTGAAAGACCAAAGTTGCACCAACACCTTCTCGTCTTTTTTCCAATCGTTTTCTGCTACAAGTTCGTTCCATCCTTCGGTGATACTGTAGATTTCAGCTTTCGTCATTTTCCACTTCTTCAAGCACATTTCATCCCATAGGTTAAGATTATGATCCAGCATAGATACATACATACTTGGAATCTTCTCATCTTTATTACGCTCGTAATCCAAGTATGATTCCTCACTTGCTGTCAAAAAACTCTCTTTAACTCTTCCTTTTGGGATGGAGAGACGACCCTGGTCTTGCGTCACATCACTGTTTGTTAGTTCCTTCTGAATCACCATTTTGACCTCAATGCCTCCCATTTGTTCAATCTTTTCTTTAAATTCCAAAGGAAGTCCAGGTTCGTCTACTTCCGGATGGGGACTAATCCTTCCATTGGTATTGATTTTCTTCTTTTGTTTATTTGAAGGCTCACTTGATTTTTTCTTATTTGCCTTTCTTTTCTTGACTTTTGTGTTGGAACTCTCGTCAAACAACGATTCCCCAGCAGTTGTCTCGTTATTCTTTGTATTAGGATTGTTGAGTTCCTCGGCAGTCGTCTCGTTGTTCTTTACATAAGAATTCTTGAATTCCTTAGTACTTGTCTCATTATTCTTTAGTCCAGAATTGTTGAATTTTTCGGTAGCTGTCTCGTCATTCTTTGTATTAGAATTTCCATAAACAAATTTCAGCGATGGATCGCTTCGTTTTATTTTAAATGTTATTTTGCGAACACTTCCACTAACAGCATCCTCAGCAGTTATCTTCTTATTCTTAACGTCAGGATTCTTGAATTCCTCATTACTCGTCTCATTATTCTTTACATTAGAATTGTTGAATCTCGTTATTGTTTCCGAAGCAAAAGCATAGTGTTGATTCTTTGAATGAAGAACATCATCAGAAGCATCAATTTTAGCAACACTTGTACCAGCAGCAACCTCATGATTATTTTCTATTATTGTCTCCGAAGCAGTAGCACACTGTCGATTCTTTGAATGAAGAACATCATCAGAAGCACTTGTAGCAGCAGCAACCTCGTGATTATTGATTGTTATTGTCTCTGTAATAGGACCATATTGTCGATTATTTGAATGAAGTACAGCAGAAGCGTCACTTTTAAATTGATTTGCCAAAGACTCAGATCGTAAACCTAATAAGTTTTCAATCATCAAACAGTCATCACTATCAAATTCCTCTAATATTCTAGAAGCAAAATCACATTCTTCCATAATCTTGAAATTGATGAAGACTCAATGCAAGTGTATGTTCCTGAATTAATATATACTAATTTATAGACAAATTGAGATTATTGTTTGTTTCAATGTAACAAATTGATTTCAAATTATTAAAAAAGATAAGATTTAAAAGATGAATTTGTTATTTAACAAATTTATCTCTAGGTTTGTTTTCCTTATTGAAAAGGTTGTTATTATTATTATTTTTTTAATATACTCATCGGTAAAGAGTGGCAAAATCTATGCACTATGTTCTAACTAAATTCTCTCTTTAAAATTAATTTAAAAAAATTTATTTAGTGAGTATTTTCTATCACTATCAAATAATTAATTTAGTTTGTATATTCTTACTTTCATATCAATTAATCTATAAATTATTTTTAAAATAATTAAAATATTTTTAAATTATTATTTCATTCTAATTATAATAGTTTAAAGACTAAATTGTGAAAGAATGATAGTATAGAAATTAAATTAAATTTTTATAAAATAAAAAATTGTTTGGAAATTCTATTTTTAAAAACTATTTTAAAAATGAAAACATGAAAAATCATATTTAAAATGTAAGTTTGTTTTTTTTCTGAATTAAGTGAAATGGTCTTTAAATAACTAACAAACTTTCACCCTTAAATTTTGGTCCTAATCCACGTGTTGGGTTGGATGGCTTAAAAGCCAATTTATTTATTATTTTCTTTTTTTATTTTTATTTTATTAATAATTATTTTAATAGTAAATTTTCAAATTTTGATTTAAGATATCAAGTTTTTTTTTTCTTTTTGAAAAAACGTATTTCGTAAGGATTTTTTTTTAGTTTTCCAAAAGTAAATTATAAAAAAAAAATGATAGTGTTTGAGAATTATTTGACAGTTCTAAGATAATATTTGCCCTATTTTTAATACTTAAAACCATATTGGTCTAACCGATCAATTTTGAAATCAAATATATTTATTATTTAACTAATCTAAAATCAACATTACTAAATATCTCTAAATCAATTTTTTGATAATTAATATTAAATTTAATATTGGAAATTTGAAAACAAAAACGACATGAATCTATGATTTATATTAGATTATTGAAAAAATTGGTATAAAGCATAATTCGTTTTCAAAATTGGTATAAATTTTTGAGAAAATTTAAATCATTCTATGTGTATTTTACGACATGAATTTACGACATGAGAAAATTTGGTATAAAGCAAATGATTTTTAAAAAATTTAAAATTTAAATTTTAAAATAACTCTCTTACTCTATATAACATGAAATCTATGCAACATGAACGATAATTTAATATGATACCAATACTCATGTGCATATAGGTGTTCCTATGTTATTGGAAATAACATATAGGATGTTTTGACACCAATACTCATGTCCCAATCCATGTAACTTAACCTAAACATGAGATAATGTGTTTTTTTGAATATCCCATGTTCTAAGCCATTACAAGGATTTTTAGCATATCAGAAAATGCAACTCTAACATTCAGATCACAGCCATCCTTGTTAATATTCAACTTCTCTGCTGGATGTGTTTTTAAATCAGTTACAGAAATCAGATATTTCAACTATTTAAGATTAGTTCGAGTCAAGTGCTTGAATCACTTCAACAGTAAAGTCTCTTAGGTAGCGTATAAGAAAAACATTTGATTCGAAATTTGGTTCGGTTTTCACCATGAACATGAATAGGATGATCTGAGACGACTGAGAGGCAGCACAGATTAGGGTGCTCCATGGCACCTGCAAGTTTGGTTGTAAAAGGTATACTTAATTTGTTATGTTTGGATCAACCAAAAACCTTTACGATTTTGCGACTAACCATTAAGGTTGTAATTGCTTGAGCTGCAAGTTTTGTTGCCCTATTTGCTTTAGACGCGGTGGCTTGTTAAGATAATCAAACTCTCATTAATATGCTTTTTCTAGTTCATCATAATATTCAAGCTTTCTACTTCATTAATACAGACACAATATAATAATAAAGGAATAAAATTAAAATCAAACAAGACACAAAAATTCTCAAAACAGATATTGATTGATAGATATTGCTAAAGCTTGACGAGTGCAAAATAGAGCTTGTGGTTGCGTCTGAAAGACCAAAGTTGCACCAACACCTTCTCGTCTTTTTTCCAATCGTTTTCTGCTACAAGTTCGTTCCATCCTTCGGTGATACTGTAGATTTCAGCTTTCGTCATTTTCCACTTCTTCAAGCACATTTCATCCCATAGGTTAAGATTATGATCCAGCATAGATACATACATACTTGGAATCTTCTCATCTTTATTACGCTCGTAATCCAAGTATGATTCCTCACTTGCTGTCAAAAAACTCTCTTTAACTCTTCCTTTTGGATGGAGAGACGACCCTGGTCTTGCGTCACATCACTGTTTGTTAGTTCCTTCTGAATCACCAACTTGACCTCAACGCCTCCCATTTGTTCAATCTTTTCTTTAAATTCCAAAGGAAGTCCAGGTTCGTTTACTTCCGGATGGGGACTAATCCTTCCATTGGTATTGATTTTCTTCTTTTGTTTATTTGAAGGCTCACTTGATTTTTTCTTATTTGCCTTTCTTTTCTTGACTTTTGTGTTGGAACTCTCGTCAAACAACGATTCCCCAGCAGTTGTCTCGTTATTCTTTGTATTAGGATTGTTGAGTTCCTCGGCAGTCGTCTCGTTGTTCTTTACATAAGAATTCTTGAATTCCTTAGTACTTGTCTCATTATTCTTTAGTCCAGAATTGTTGAATTTTTCGGTAGCTGTCTCGTCATTCTTTGTATTAGAATTTCCATAAACAAATTTCAGCGATGGATCGCTTCGTTTTATTTTAAATGTTATTTTGCAAACACTTCCACCAACAGCATCCTCAGCAGTTATCTTCTTATTCTTAACGTCAGGATTCTTGAATTCCTCATTACTCGTCTCATTATTCTTTACATTAGAATTGTTGAATCTCGTTATTGTTTCCGAAGCAAAAGCATAGTGTTGATTCTTTGAATGAAGAACATCATCAGAAGCATCAATTTTAGCAACACTTGTACCAGCAACAACCTCATGATTATTTTCTATTATTGTCTCCGAAGCAGTAGCACACTGTCGATTCTTTGAATGAAGAACATCATCAGAAGCACTTGTAGCAGCAGCAACCTCGTGATTATTGATTGTTATTGTCTCTGTAATAGGACCATATTGTCGATTATTTGAATGAAGTACAGCAGAAGCGTCACTTTTAAATTGATTTGCCAAAGACTCAGATCGTAAACCTAATAAGTTTTCAATCATCAAACAGTCATCACTATCAAATTCCTCTAATATTCTAGAAGCAAAATCACATTCTTCCATAATCTTGAAATTGATGAAGACTCAATGCAAGTGTATGTTCCTGAATTAATATATACTAATTTATAGACAAATTGAGATTATTGTTTGTTTCAATGTAACAAATTGATTTCAAATTATTAAAAAAGATAAGATTTAAAAGATGAATTTGTTATTTAACAAATTTATCTCTAGGTTTGTTTTCCTTATTGAAAAGGTTGTTATTATTATTATTTTTTTAATATACTCATCGGTAAAGAGTGGCAAAATCTATGCACTATGTTCTAACTAAATTCTCTCTTTAAAATTAATTTAAAAAAATTTATTTAGTGAGTATTTTCTATCACTATCAAATAATTAATTTAGTTTGTATATTCTTACTTTCGTATCAATTAATCTATAAATTATTTTTAAAATAATTAAAATATTTTTAAATTATTATTTCATTCTAATTATAATAGTTTAAAGACTAAATTGTGAAAGAATGATAGTATAGAAATTAAATTAAATTTTTATAAAATAAAAAATTGTTTGGAAATTCTATTTTTAAAAACTATTTTAAAAATGAAAACATGAAAAATCATATTTAAAATGTAAGTTTTTTTTTTTCTGAATTAAGTGAAATGGTCTTTAAATAACTAACAAACTTTCACCCTTAAATTTTGGTCCTAATCCACGTGTTGGGTTGGATGGCTTAAAAGCCAATTTATTTATTATTTTCTTTTTTTATTTTTATTTTATTAATAATTATTTTAATAGTAAATTTTCAAATTTTGATTTAAGATATCAAGTTTTTTTTTTCTTTTTGAAAAAACGTATTTCGTAAGGATTTTTTTTTAGTTTTCCAAAAGTAAATTATAAAAAAAAAATGATAGTGTTTGAGAATTATTTGACAGTTCTAAGATAATATTTGCCCTATTTTTAATACTTAAAACCATATTGGTCTAACCGATCAATTTTGAAATCAAATATATTTATTATTTAACTAATCTAAAATCAACATTACTAAATATCTCTAAATCAATTTTTTGATAATTAATATTAAATTTAATATTGGAAATTTGAAAACAAAAACGACATGAATCTATGATTTATATTAGATTATTGAAAAAATTGGTATAAAGCATAATTCGTTTTCAAAATTGGTATAAATTTTTGAGAAAATTTAAATCATTCTATGTGTATTTTACGACATGAATTTACGACATGAGAAAATTTGGTATAAAGCAAATGATTTTTAAAAAATATAAAATTTAAATTTTAAAATAACTCTCTTACTCTATATAACATGAAATCTATGCAACATGAACGATAATTTAATATGATACCAATACTCATGTGCATATAGGTGTTCCTATGTTATTGGAAATAACATATAGGATGTTTTGACACCAATACTCATGTCCCAATCCATGTAACTTAACCTAAACATGAGATAATGTGTTTTTTTGAATATCCCATGTTCTAAGCCATTACAAGGAATTTTAGCATATCAGAAAATGCAACTCTAACATTCAGATCACAGCCATCCTTGTTAATACTCAACTTCTCTGCTGGATGTGTTTTTAAATCAGTTACAGAAATCAGATATTTCAACTATTTAAGATTAGTTCGAGTCAAGTGCTTGAATCACTTCAACAGTAAAGTCTCTTAGGTAGCGTATAAGAAAAACATTTGATTCGAAATTTGGTTCGGTTTTCACCATGAACATGAATAGGATGATCTGAGACGACTGAGAGGCAGCACAGATTAGGGTGCTCCATGGCACCTGCAAGTTTGGTTGTAAAAGGTATACTTAATTTGTTATGTTTGGATCAACCAAAAACCTTTACGATTTTGCGACTAACCATTAAGGCTGTAATTGCTTGAGCTGCAAGTTTTGTTGCCCTATTTGCTTTAGACGCGGTGGCTTGTTAAGATAATCAAACTCTCATTAATATGCTTTTTCTAGTTCATCATAATATTCAAGCTTTCTACTTCATTAATACAGACACAATATAATAATAAAGGAATAAAATTAAAATCAAACAAGACACAAAAATTCTCAAAACAGATATTGATTGATAGATATTGCTAAAGCTTGACGAGTGCAAAATAGAGCTTGTGGTTGCGTCTGAAAGACCAAAGTTGCACCAACACCTTCTCGTCTTTTTTCCAATCGTTTTCTGCTACAAGTTCGTTCCATCCTTCGGTGATACTGTAGATTTCAGCTTTCGTCATTTTCCACTTCTTCAAGCACATTTCATCCCATAGGTTAAGATTATGATCCAGCATAGATACATACATACTTGGAATCTTCTCATCTTTATTACGCTCGTAATCCAAGTATGATTCCTCACTTGCTGTCAAAAAACTCTCTTTAACTCTTCCTTTTGGATGGAGAGACGACCCTGGTCTTGCGTCACATCACTGTTTGTTAGTTCCTTCTGAATCACCAACTTGACCTCAACGCCTCCCATTTGTTCAATCTTTTCTTTAAATTCCAAAGGAAGTCCAGGTTCGTCTACTTCCGGATGGGGACTAATCCTTCCATTGGTATTGATTTTCTTCTTTTGTTTATTTGAAGGCTCACTTGATTTTTTCTTATTTGCCTTTCTTTTCTTGACTTTTGTGTTGGAACTCTCGTCAAACAACGATTCCCCAGCAGTTGTCTCGTTATTCTTTGTATTAGGATTGTTGAGTTCCTCGGCAGTCGTCTCGTTGTTCTTTACATAAGAATTCTTGAATTCCTTAGTACTTGTCTCATTATTCTTTAGTCCAGAATTGTTGAATTTTTCGGTAGCTGTCTCGTCATTCTTTGTATTAGAATTTCCATAAACAAATTTCAGCGATGGATCGCTTCGTTTTATTTTAAATGTTATTTTGCAAACACTTCCACCAACAGCATCCTCAGCAGTTATCTTCTTATTCTTAACGTCAGGATTCTTGAATTCCTCATTACTCGTCTCATTATTCTTTACATTAGAATTGTTGAATCTCGTTATTGTTTCCGAAGCAAAAGCATAGTGTTGATTCTTTGAATGAAGAACATCATCAGAAGCATCAATTTTAGCAACACTTGTACCAGCAACAACCTCATGATTATTTTCTATTATTGTCTCCGAAGCAGTAGCACACTGTCGATTCTTTGAATGAAGAACATCATCAGAAGCACTTGTAGCAGCAGCAACCTCGTGATTATTGATTGTTATTGTCTCTGTAATAGGACCATATTGTCGATTATTTGAATGAAGTACAGCAGAAGCGTCACTTTTAAATTGATTTGCCAAAGACTCAGATCGTAAACCTAATAAGTTTTCAATCATCAAACAGTCATCACTATCAAATTCCTCTAATATTCTAGAAGCAAAATCACATTCTTCCATAATCTTGAAATTGATGAAGACTCAATGCAAGTGTATGTTCCTGAATTAATATATACTAATTTATAGACAAATTGAGATTATTGTTTGTTTCAATGTAACAAATTGATTTCAAATTATTAAAAAAGATAAGATTTAAAAGATGAATTTGTTATTTAACAAATTTATCTCTAGGTTTGTTTTCCTTATTGAAAAGGTTGTTATTATTATTATTTTTTTAATATACTCATCGGTAAAGAGTGGCAAAATCTATGCACTATGTTCTAACTAAATTCTCTCTTTAAAATTAATTTAAAAAAATTTATTTAGTGAGTATTTTCTATCACTATCAAATAATTAATTTAGTTTGTATATTCTTACTTTCGTATCAATTAATCTATAAATTATTTTTAAAATAATTAAAATATTTTTAAATTATTATTTCATTCTAATTATAATAGTTTAAAGACTAAATTGTGAAAGAATGATAGTATAGAAATTAAATTAAATTTTTATAAAATAAAAAATTGTTTGGAAATTCTATTTTTAAAAACTATTTTAAAAATGAAAACATGAAAAATCATATTTAAAATGTAAGTTTGTTTTTTTTCTGAATTAAGTGAAATGGTCTTTAAATAACTAACAAACTTTCACCCTTAAATTTTGGTCCTAATCCACGTGTTGGGTTGGATGGCTTAAAAGCCAATTTATTTATTATTTTCTTTTTTTATTTTTATTTTATTAATAATTATTTTAATAGTAAATTTTCAAATTTTGATTTAAGATATCAAGTTTTTTTTTCTTTTTGAAAAAACGTATTTCGTAAGGATTTTTTTTTAGTTTTCCAAAAGTAAATTATAAAAAAAAATGATAGTGTTTGAGAATTATTTGACAGTTCTAAGATAATATTTGCCCTATTTTTAATACTTAAAACCATATTGGTCTAACCGATCAATTTTGAAATCAAATATATTTATTATTTAACTAATCTAAAATCAACATTACTAAATATCTCTAAATCAATTTTTTGATAATTAATATTAAATTTAATATTGGAAATTTGAAAACAAAAACGACATGAATCTATGATTTATATTAGATTATTGAAAAAATTGGTATAAAGCATAATTCGTTTTCAAAATTGGTATAAATTTTTGAGAAAATTTAAATCATTCTATGTGTATTTTACGACATGAATTTACGACATGAGAAAATTTGGTATAAAGCAAATGATTTTTAAAAAATTTAAAATTTAAATTTTAAAATAACTCTCTTACTCTATATAACATGAAATCTATGCAACATGAACGATAATTTAATATGATACCAATACTCATGTGCATATAAGTGTTCCTATGTTATTGGAAATAACATATAGGATGTTTTGACACCAATACTCATGTCCCAATCCATGTAACTTAACCTAAACATGAGATAATGTGTTTTTTTGAATATCCCATGTTCTAAGCCATTACAAGGATTTTTAGCATATCAGAAAATGCAACTCTAACATTCAGATCACAGCCATCCTTGTTAATATTCAACTTCTCTGCTGGATGTGTTTTTAAATCAGTTACAGAAATCAGATATTTCAACTATTTAAGATTAGTTCGAGTCAAGTGCTTGAATCACTTCAACAGTAAAGTCTCTTAGGTAGCGTATAAGAAAAACATTTGATTCGAA